GGGGGGGGTCAGGGATGGAGTCTGGGGCAGGGCAGGAGTTGGGGTCAGGATTGAGATCATTTAGACCTCACACTGTTAAAGTGTTGAAACAGCATTCACAGATGCTCAGGTAAGGCTGTTGTATGTCCCACTTCAAGTGTGAGCTGCAGTATTGAGTCGTTAACCTCAGATCAAACAGGTATGTATTCCACTTTGTATCTGCGAGCAAAAGTCCATCTGAAAGGCAGCGTTGTCTGAACGCTGAATCTCAGTTGTTGTGATTTTGTCCATCGGGAGCCAAACAAAGTCATTTTGTCAAAGCTGCTGGTGAGTCTGTTACACACATGTTGTCCTTTGGTTTCCAAATCCTGATTTTCATCACAAAGGCTCACGAGTCTGGTGGACACATTTTTACCTAAACCAAAGTCAACAATCCTAAATTTTAGTGCCTAAACACTGAACAAAATGAACAAATGGCATCTCTGAACACAAAAGGTCATTAACCTCCTAAGACCTGAACTCTTCCACGGCAGCATTTTTAATTTCTCTTTGATATTTGGGCTGATTGGGGCCCGATGAATGTAAAAACAAAGAATTACCAGATTTTTTTTTTACGTTATTTTTGTTTTTAAGAAAAATGAGAGCCACATATGAGGATATTCGTTTAAAATTTTGATAGAACAGTAGCAGTATAATGTCCTCATAAGTGTATATCAGGCCCATGTAGAGTAGAATTGAGTATTTTAGTCTAAATAACCAAAAATGTGACGTCCACATATGAACGCCAGGTCCTAGGAGGTTAAACCTCGACGCGTTTCTCCACCACAGATCCCAAACAACACCTTATCTAACTGTGAGATGCATCTGGCAACACGGTGCAGTGTAAACCCCCAACCCCCCCGCACACAAGCACCATGTAGAAAGTCAAAGGAAACGTGTCCTTCCATGGGTGTCTTAGGTTTGTTGAGTCTCAGCTGAGAAATGTCGCTCAAATAAGAAATGACATTCACCTGACCCCCACATTTAACAGAATCTCGTCTTGCTCTTTTACCTCTACAAGCTGCAGATTTCACATCAGTCCAGTCACACTTCTGGCCCAGTAAAGTGCTGGCAGCAGCATATTACATCATGTGGCCCCCATTTACCAAAACCATCGCAGCAAAAATGTCCTACTGTGAAGTTCTCCAGACTGAAAGCATTTCACACTTTAGGAATGATCTGCTCCTTCTCTGCATGTCTTCGTGGTCCACAGAGTTTCCGATGTTCTATTTAATTATTGTAAAAGCATCAGAGTTTCTGATTTGGCATCGGCAGCTCCTGTTAAACTCCTCCTGATTATACATTCACTTCACCTCCTGCCTTCTCGTCACAGAGTCATCTCTCCAGGGACGCCACAGATCCAGTTTCTTTTCACAAGGCTGTTGTTTTGGAGCTCGAATGAATATTCATCACCTCTCTTGAAGCTGGATGAGAGTTTTTCCAGAGGCCAGAGAGCTGTTTCAAAGTGTTTTATGTACCCGTCTTATCGCATAAAGTTTCAAAACACGAGTCTGGGCATCGGACATCTCTGCTACTCTTCACTCTAAACTTGTCCCCACATCCCCTCTTTCCATCCCTAAATCCTTTTCCTTTCAAACTCATCCTCCTTGTCGCCCTCCCCCCCGCCCCAGGCCAGTCTCCTCGTTGGGGGGCGGGAGGGCTCGTGCCGCTAGAGAGCTGTAATCTGAGTCAATTCTGTGTTGGAGTTCCCAGTTCCAGGGGTCTCTCCCCTCTGTGGGGGGTCCACCCCCACCAAGGGGAGCTCCACGCCTAGTCATGCTGGATTCGGCGTCCCTCCCCCTAGCCCCCCACCGTCTCCGGCTTTGCAGCTGTAGGCAGCCGCCACCTCCCTGGCGATGCTCCTCATCCTGCCAGACTGCTGGGGGTCGAGGCGGAATGGAGACGGGTGGCAGAACTCTCGGAAGCAGCGCTTGAAGTTTTCATCGAGGAAGGCGTAGAGCACGGGGTTCAAGCTGCTGTTGACGTAGCCTAGCGCGATGCAGAAGTGCATGAGGACCACTGTGAATAGGCTACTCAGGTTGAAGCCCAGAAACTGAGCCAGAACCATGATTTGGATTGGGGTCCAACACACCACAAATGCCGCCACCACCACCAGAACCATCCTGGTGATGCGCCGCAGGTTTCGGTCCTTTTCCTTGGAGCCAGACAGGATGCGGACGCTGCGCAGGCGTTTGACCATCAGGCTGTAGCAGATGCTGATGATGGCCACAGGGATGAGGAAGGAGAAGACGAAGACACAGGTACCAAAGACGGGATCCCAGTGGGTCTTTGGCTCGGGCAGAGCCACTATGCACTCCAAACCTACAAGTTCAAAAGAGAAATAAAGTATTAATTACGGGAGAAAAAGGGGGAGGGCAGGGGGAGATGTAGGTTGGTCGGTGTATGTGTTGTTGGCATGAATGTCAAGGACAGCGGCTGATGTTGTTCTATTAAAGATGGAATATGTTAGTGTGACGAGTTACACAGAGAAGTACGCGGCAGGGTTTGTTTTGAATAACGTGATTTTACGAGTTCACAGTGACGTCGAGTGTACGGCAGCGCTTTGTCCTCATGAGTTCCTGGTGGAGAATCGTGTGTGTTATACTGCTTTTGATTGGATGTATGCTCCAGTTTTAGTTCAAGGATCCACAGTCCGGCACTCAGAGAGGAGTAAACCTCCAGCTACTCATTTGCAATGCAGCCGGGCAGGATGGAAGCGAACCTACAGGGAACACCGTTCCTGATGTCTGCATATTAATGTGCTTATTAAAAATGCTAATTAGTATGCTAATAACAGAAACAGGCAAAGCAAAAAGAAAAATGGGAGGTGCAAAGGATACAAGGTATGACTGTATGAATGAGCAGTGACAGGAGAGTCAGCTGGTTTAATCAGTTTAATCATAATACAGTCTGCAGCTGGAGAAGGCAGACAGGAAGATAAATGTGTCTGAGCCCATGGAGAGATAAGAAAGTAATGACTGCAGAGTTATGCCACAACCCAACGGAGGAGACACCAGAAGGAAAAAGAACAAAAGTTCACCGCAAACACCTGAAAATCCAAAACCAACACACTTCCAAATCAAACACAGGCATGTCAGTGGGACATCACAGCGTAAACAGCCACGGTTCACAACTGCACCTTAAAACAGCTCCGACCTTCTTCAGCCGGTCAGATACCTGATTGCAGCGCACCCTCATCAGTTCACCTTCATCACCTGCATCCACTAAATAACTGAAAACTGCACCTTAAAGACTCCGCTTAGACCTGAGCTCACATACTAGTCTTTTAAGTCCAGCACTGAGAACGATGAGCTCATCCTTCATTTGGAGGAAGAGCCCAAACTCACAAAGATTGGAAAAAATTCCTTCCAGAAACACAACGTTTCATACTGGAATCGAGTCATGTGACCACAGTTACCAATCAACCTCGATTAACTGACCTGTCCATTAAATAAAGGTCTTCCTCTTCTCTTCAGGTCCATCTTCATCCTCCACCTTCCTTCCTCCACACATGTGCAAACCATCTCAGCCTCTCTGAGTCCGAGCTGTTCTTCTGATGGACTCGTCCTGCTCGCACCCAGTGAAGGTCTTTACTGAGATTAAGATGCTCAGACCAAAGCGGACACGGTCATGTTCATCTAGAACTTTGACAGGGTTTAGTGTTACAGTGCTGGGAGGAGTCAGGGGCAGCGCCTGACTCTGCTCAGACGAGCTGCCATCGATTCACCAAAGACACCACAAACGGGCCTAAAAATGATTGATTACCTGTTGGCAGGTAAGTTAGCTGACATTAGCTGGATTTGATGTTTTATTGATATGCTTGAAGGATGCAGATTACAGGCAGATCTTTTTATTCCTGAGGCCTGAGTGCAGAAGCACGAGCCACGGCCGAGCTCTGCACCAATCAGACGGGTCCTGATCCAACAAGTGTGTTTGTAATGAATTAAGAGCATTTTACAGTCCGCGGAGACTTCACACTAATTACAGCCTACTTTTAACTACAGAGGCAGCACTTTGTTTCTAATTCCTAACCATTTTCACACTGCACAGTGAAAACACTTCCTGTCACCATTAATTCAGCCATCCCTGAGAAAATGTCCTAAGAAAAAGTAACAGCAAACTCTGCAGAGCCATGACAGCGATTCACCCAGCGAGAGCAACAACCACACACACTTCCAATTATGTCCCACTGCAGCCTCTGCTTAACCGTCTACATGATGTTAAAGCTGTTAAAGCAGAGTTTTCTCTCCCTAAACAAAAACCAGACTGAACTGATTGGAGGCCACGCCCCTTTGGATGAGCTAACTCAGACCCTCGGTCCTCTCGCTTGTCATCGTTCTCAGACTGTTAGAAACCTCAGAGTGTCTTTAGTCGGATCTTTAAATGAGAGAACCAAGCTGTGAAAAACAGTTTTTCATCAGTTAGCTGAAACTGCCAAAGCGATGTCTGATCTTCCTCCTGAAGACAAACGTATTGATCACCACTAGACTGGACTGCTGCAGTGCTCTGTTTGGGTCTCCAACACTTGTCTCTCCGTCGCCTGCAGTTAGTCCAAAATGTTGCTGCACGTCTTTGAACAGGTGTTAGAAGACAAACTTACACCGGCTCCCTGTCCAGTGTTGGTTTTAAGATTTTTAAAGTGTTAAACGGTGGCAACCTCCTCCACATATTTCACCTCAAAACAGCCCTGAGATCATCCAACAGATGCTCTCAGTACAGCCGAGGTTAAAGCGTAGAGGAGATCGGGCCTGGACTCTGGAGTGACTTGATTTTCGTACTTCAGAGTCTATACGGTGTTTAAAATCCCGTCTTAAATCCCGGGCGATCGTGGCTGAAGAGTTGGGAGTTCGCCTTGTAATCGGAAGGTTGCCGGTTCGAGCCCCGGCTTGGACAGTCTCGGTCGTTGTGTCCTTGGGCAAGACACTTCACCTGTTGCCTACTGGTGGTGGTCAGAGGGCCCGGTGGCGCCAGTGTCCGGCAGCCTCGCCTCTGTCAGTGCGCCCCAGGGCGGCTGTGGCTACAATGTAGCTGCCATCACCAGTGTGTGAATGGGTGGATGACTGGATATGTAAAGCGCTTTGGGGTCCTTAGGGACTAGTAAGGTGCTATATAAATGCAGGCCATTTACCATTTAAAAGTCACTGTTTTACGTTCAGTTTGACTACTATCAGGTTTTTATCAAAGTATCTGCTTCTTCATTTCTAAACCCGACGTGAATGTGTCTCAGTGAAAATGAAGCGCTCTGGGCCTCCCAGATGTGTGTGTCAGTTACTAAGACGACGTGCCAACAGTAGTGCAGAACAAGTCGAGCGTGCTCAGAGGTCATGTGACGGTGGACAGGTCTACTTTTCGGTCTGTGATTGGTGGAAATCTGAGAGACACCGCTGCAGTGTCGCAGTTCTGGAAAAGGTCAGCCTGCACTCACTTAGTAACGGCTCTTTGGACACGTCTCACATTTTTAAATGCGACGTAGGGGGTTGACCCCGCCCACCCCAGTTTGGACCTGGTGTATTTTATCTCATCTTTAAGTTCAAGAGACGGAGACAGAAGATTGACTCTGAGGTAGAGTAGAGAGGGTCTGCTCGAGCGTTCACCCATCAGTGCGTCACACAACAGTCTCAGCACTCTGTCGCTGACAACACTACGGAGATTTTTAAGCCTATATAATGCTGAGTTTAAACACACCACTCTAGCTCCGCCCACAAACCACCCTACAATCTGTCGGCAGCGCCTCACGTCTGATCCTGATTCTTTCACTATTTCTGTCAGTTTTAATTTAAGAGACATATTGATATCGTCGTGACAACCTCTGATTGTAGAGTGAAACAGCCTTCCTCGCGCGTTCCCTCATCGCTTTCTCCTTTCTTTGTTACACAGTACGGGACCTGTAGCTTTGCTGTGATTGGCTCTTGATGTGCTGCCACCTGAACACAAACCTCCGCGTGACGATGTTTGACAGGTGGAAGCTTGCAGACAGAAAACTCAAGAAGCCTGATCACTGTCCAGTCTTTGGTCCAAACCTGCCACGTGTTAGGACTCAGATAATTCCACGTCATCCCAGTTTTTCTCCTTTAGTGCCGTAAAAAAGCAAAAAATCAGGTTATCAAAGTGGAAAGCTGTGATCTTCATAGAGAGCAGCATCAGTGTCAGGTCTGAAGATCCAGATGATCTGTTTGTCTCTCTGCTCTGTACCAGATACAGATCTGCAGGTAGCGCGTCCTCAGTAAACCCTCCCCACTGGTCACGTTGGGTCTGTAACATCATCACACGGTCACTTCTATTTATGCTCGCTGTTAAGGTGCTGCAGTATTCTCCTGAACCACAGGTGTCGCCATTCAGTCACAACCGCAGTCAATACTTGCTCAAGTTTTCTCGTCTTTCATCGGGACTGTGGCTGTCCTGCTCAGGGGACGAACAAATGTGCCGTGATGTTTCGTATTATCCATGTCGTAATAACTTGTTGGTTGGTTTCCGGAAAACAACGCCACGCAGTAGCACCTCTGCCAAAATCCTATCTGATGGCCACCAGATGGCGATAAGTCTTCCTGTAGAAGTGTATGTGAAACAGAACCTCCGTAATCAGTGCTGGTGACTTCACGCTCAGTCATCATGGATTGGCGGTATGAAACTGCATGCTGATTGGCTAACACCGTGTTGCTCTTTTCGTATCTGAACCAAGATGGTGGCAGCAGTAAAACATCACAAACCAGCGGGGCATGTCACTGAAGCTCCACCCACCTTTCTGTGTTTGTGGATGCTGCGATAACTCCACCCTCTGAAGAGTGTGCAGCACCTGTCGCCGTGTTGTTTTGGACAGATCGGTCTGACAGCAGGGAGCTGCTGATTCTGGCCTCCATCCTGCTGCCCTGTCCTTGTGCAAGGCTTTTGACCCCAATTACTGTGAGCAGCGAGCTGTGACGGCGCCTGCAGCCGTCAGCTTTGAAGCTGCTCGACCCTCTGTTTGTTTGGAGGAGACAGAAGAGGAGGAGGAGCACAGCGAAGCTCCAAGAGCAGGTCAACGAGGTGGAATTACACAGGAAGAAGGAGAGCAGATGGAGAAGGAGGATGGGAACGAAGATGTGAGACAGGAGTTTGAAATGAAATGCAGCAGGGGATAAAGACAAAGATCTGAACTGGAAGTAAAACTAAACAGATGAGAATAAAGAAGAATAAACTTACGAGAGATGAAAGAGAGACGGGAAGGAGAAATGTTTCATGATTGAAGCCGACAGGTGAGGAAGAGGATGAAAAGAGGATGAAACGAACCAGAGCAAAGCTGAACAGAGGAGGAGAAACAGGCAATGAAGAGGAGAAGGAGGCGG